TCTCTCTGTCAAATAAATAAATAAAATCTTTAAAAAAAAAAAAGAAAAGAAACTAACCCCCCTTCACCTCTTCTCCCACTACCACCAGCTGGTTGAGATCATCGGGGCTTACACACAGCCACCAGCATCTCCTTCTGGTTTCGCACGATAGCCTCTTAACACCTCTCTTTGTAGACCTCTAGTCTACTCCCAAAGAGCAGCTGGAGGATCATTTGGAATCTGAGCTGAATTCTACCTTCCTGCTACTTATTCCTCCAGTGGCTCTCCATCTCAGCTAGGGTAAAAGTGCAAACCCTTACAGTGATCCATAGGCCCTTCACCACCTGACCCTGAAATGTCTGTCTGCTACTCCTTACGCAACCCTCCAACCCTCCAACCATCTCTAGCTCCCTTCCCTACTTTGTCTCTGTAATACCACCATCTGGCCTAATAGAAAGGTTACTTGTCTCTTTGTCCAATGTCCTAAGTAGAATGAAGCATGAATTAAAAAAAAAAAAGTCTACTGCCACATCCTCAGTGTCAGGAGTAGTGCCTGTTCCGTAAATGTTTGTAAAGTGAACAAGTGGGTCCCCAGCTCTCCATCTGAGTAGTGGGAGAGGGAGGACAGCGAAGGGATGGGAAGTAAGCAAGTCAACACCCAAAGTATTTCCTTTGTGTACAAAGACTCCTAACAGGCAGAGCACGCCTTACATCTGTGATGTTCCACCTGTCGCCACTGGGCAGCAGCATCAGACCATCAAACTACGTGAGGAGGGAGGAGGCCGAGGCCCTAGCCCAGCCCTACGCAAGCGCTCACCTTTGAGGTTAGATACTTGTTGGCCTTGGGTCTTGCTGAAGAGAGACAGCTCGTTGGTGATGGACTCCAGCATCTTGACAAAGTTGGGCAGGAAGAGGATGACCTGGACATCATGGTTGGCCAGGTGCCTTCCACAGCTGATCCCCTGAGCCCCTTTCACATGGGGGCCACACAGCAGGGCCACTGTGGGCCTCTGGTGAACATTTTTGGGATTCAACCTGGAACAGAAGGTAAATTAGCATTATCAGCTGCAGACCTACCAATCCCTACACCCTAAACCAGACGAGTACCTCTCAGCACCTGTCGCTCTTCAAGTTCTTGGCAGCCCCAGGTCCCAGAGGGGGTGAAAAGCCACCGAACTCCAGGACTACAGGGTGGCATTCCCACGGTCCCACACCCCAGTGTCACTTCATCTGCTGGGTCCTCTCACTAGGCAGTTCACCCAGATCTCATTCCATAGAACACTGTTGCCAGAACACTGCTCTCTGACCAGAAACACGTAACTGTTCTGTGGGACCTGTGAGGTCCAAACTCTGATTAGCAAAGAGGCTTCTCCACCTCGACAGCCCTCCTGGCTCTTCTTCCCTGGCCTCACTCTCTGCTATTCTTGTAAGGCTTTCTTGCTTCTCCTCAGAGGATGTCCCCTGCCCAGAAAGCCCTTCACTTGTCAAACTCTGACCCACCTTTTCTTTGAAATCCAGCTCAAGGCTCACCTCTTCCAGGATTACTCTGGCTCAACTCCTAAGAAACTCACAGCGAGGACCAAACGGGGCCGTTCTAAATCATCCTCCACCAGGTGCCAGGCCAAGTTCTCTTTACTGAGCTGCCAGTAAGCGAAATAAGGGCAACACTAGATACTAACGGGATCTTCCACGGGATGCTGTGTGCATCAACGCACATATAGTACTTAGAACAGGGCCTGACCTGTGACAGCTCAGGTCACAGAGGAGGCAGCAGGCTAGGGGCTTCCTGGTCTCCTACACTGGCAGCTCCCTTGGATATCCACTTCCTGATGAAGTCATTTCCAGATCCTGCCATCCAAAGCTGAGCCATAGGTAAGGAGGTTTGGAAGATTAACTCTGGAGCTGTTCCCAACTCACAGGCAGTGCGGTCTGCCTCCAGGGTGGAAGGCAGGGGGAGATGGACAGCAAGAAACGGGCTTAGGTCCCTCCTTAGCAATGACAGTCACTTACTAGTCTCCCAAAGGGAGGCAGATGACAGATGCTGTTCCAGAGAGGAAGCCCCTGTGCTCCAAATACATTTGGGGGAATTTAGCAATATACTCTGCATATATACCAAACCATTCATTTCCCGCACTATGTCTGCATGTTAAGGAAGTATGATGAGCACTTCTCCCTTCAGACAGACACCTGAGTTGTGGCATCTGACTCACCCATGTCTGTTCCTGAAGACTCTTCCTCTCACAGAGGCATCCCCCATCGGAGGACTCAAAGCAGACCCTGGCATCACACAGCCGACAGCAGAGGGCAGGGTCCAGACCCTGGAAACAGACCTATCTGGATGGGAGACCTGGCTCCACTACGTACCAGCAGTGCCAATGTGGCCAAGCCTTTCTGCTCTCTGAGCCTTAGCTTGCTCATCCTCAAACACCAGGCTACTATTTACCTTCAAGGTGAAGTCATGAGGACCAAATTAAACACAGCTGTGAAAGCACAGTGACAAACTGCATGGTACTGGACCCACATGAAGCAGATTACTAGCTGTGGTGATCCTTCTCAAAGGAGCTGCAGGAGATGGCCCTTCTGAGAGGTCAGAGGCAGCGAGAAAAGCCAGGTCCAAGGACAACTAGCCCCAAGAAGCTGGCTAGAGGGCAATGTGATGGGGTGAGGACATTCACACCCTGCCCCCACACTGCTGTTTCTGAAATCCCGTCGGCAGCTCAGCTCCCTACCGCAAAGCTGTTGCAAAGCCCTACTTCCCAGTCCCAGAGAATGACTTCACAGATCCCAGCCACGACCACGGGCTCTGTTCTGTCCGACCTCGGCACAGGCTACTCAGACCCAGACTCCTCGCCCTGCCTGCTGCCTCTGTTAATCCCCCCTCCTCCGCAGGACTCCGCTTGGATGCTACTGCGGCTTCCCAGATGATCCTCTGTTTCCTCTACCACCACAATGTACTTTCTGGAGACCTCACTAGCCTTCCAGAGGGCAGGTGTAGTATTTTATTCTTCTTTGTGTCCCTCATCCTAGCACAAGGATTGGCACATGATATCAGTAAATGACCACAAATAAAATTAAGCACTGCTTTTGACATATGGGCCCAGAGGGCAGGTAGGAAGGCACCAAACTCCAGCTCTCCCACTGGGTGGTTCTAGAAGTTCTCAGGTATGGAACTCGGGGTTGATCTCTGAGTGAAGGACAAGTGCCAAAGGCTGAGTCTCTGAAGGCTCTTGGAAGGCAGGCCTCTGGTAGCCAGCAGGAGTGTCAAAGCCAGCTGTTATCAGGAAAGAAAGGGTCAAAGGGCAGGTTGCTGAGAGAAGAATGAGGACTTCCGGGAGGTGGGTAAGAGGGGCAAACAAAACCCTCAGAGCACCCAGGAAAGGGACTTCACAGAGAGACACACACCGACAAACTCCTCCAGCAGAGCAGCACCTCCCCACGCGTAGCCCCCGCCAGTCCAGAGGAGTTTACCTGTTGGGTCCTCCGAGCAGCGTCAGGGCCATCTGGCTGGCGCACACTCCTGTCATCTCCAGTCTCCGCTCCAGAGTCAACCCGTGCTTCTCAGCCACAGACAACAGCTTTTTATGCAGTTCATAGGAAACACTTGGGACAACCAGGCCAGAGTCTGCAGTTCAAAAGGAGGTGAAGAGAGAAAGGGAAAGTGATTACAGGAAACCAGATCCACAAATGTTTGTACTTGAGCCAGGATTCTGTGAAAGCCAAGACTCTGAGACTGGCCCTCCCCTGGCCTGTCGGCCTAATGTGGGGTGGAGGTGCACCATGGAGCCCCCCAGAGTAGTGGGTGGGGAAGTAACAACTTGTGCCCGGTCCCAAAGAGCAGGGACAAGCTTAAGCTGTCTTAGCACTTGATTCTTTAAGATTTTATTTGAGAGAGAGAGCACGTGCATGCAGGCACCCACGAGCAGGAGCAGGGGGAGGAGCAGAGGGAGAGGGATGAGCAGACTCCCCGCGGAGCAGGGAGCCTGACACGGGTCTCCATCCCAGGCCCCTGGGATCACGACCTGAGCCGATAACCGACTGAGCCACCCAGGCGCCCCCCTCTAACAGTTCTGCTTCAGACCATAGAAGCCAAAGCTACCCGGATCTCTCAGGTTATTACAGGGAAGGGCTGGCACAGCCTGCGAACAGCAGCCTGTGTGCCACGTCAGAAGAGAACAGTCTTTTCCCCGAGTGGGGGGAATGGCACCCCTGGCAGTGGGACTGTCCTCGCGAGCAGACTCCTCCTTCCCCACAAGTGGAACAGATGCCAAGCCTCTAGACCCTCTGCCCCCGCTGTGCTGTCCCAGGTCTCGGCTGGATGACTTGCTCATCCCATCTGCTCCCCACTTCCTCTTCCTCCTCCTTCTACTTAGCCCTTCCTCTTTGCTTAAGAAATTTAATGAGCAACTTGTTTTTTCAAATAATTTGTCATTTTCTCCCCACATTTGGGGGCGAATGTAACCTAATACTCAAACCTCAGGGCAAGAGTACATGGAAAGCAACCTACTCAGAAGAATCTTGAACAGTTGCCATAAAGAAAGGAACTCTATTAAGGTTAGGGAGAATCACTGAAAGTAGAGCATGGAAAATACTTGGTTTATAAGGCCAAAGTCTGCAGCAGCTGAGACACTTGAAAGAGTCTTAACCTGCATTAGCACCAACAGGTGCCATTTCAGGGCCCAGAAAACCAGGACAGGAAAGAAACGCCAAAGTAAAAAACTGTGATCTGTAATGAGCAGCTCGTCTTGGCAACCAATGCCATCTTACAAATACCACAAGCCACTGACCTGGCCCCAAGGGAGCAGACCTTTGCCAAAGATCCCCATTTGGCCTCACTGGCTGACAGACCAACACATACAGATTCCAATTAGCAAGTCATCGTGGGACTGCATGTAACTAGTTTTGTCTGGCTGGATCAGATGCCTTTTCAGATCCTGTGTCTTCATCTATACTGGACTGTAAACTCCTCCAAGCAGGGAAATAAACCCTTTACTTCTTTGGCCCCCATCTCTTCAACTTGCTTCAGCTACATTTATCAACAGAGGTGAGTTCTCATCAAGTACTCAAACATACAAATGATGCAAACCTAGTGCTATTTCTGGTCTGGCCTAACTCTATGGTAGAAGTTTTCAGGAAGTTCATCATCTATCCTATTGGTTGCAAAGCCCTGTCTAGAAAAACTTGTCTTCCTCCCTGATCATTTCAGAAATAATTTCTTGAAGTTCTATCAGATATCCAGCCCTGCCTCCACAGACTCTTAAAATCACACAGAACGAGGCTATGGCGGTACATTTGAACAACAGGAATCCAAGCACGAAGACTGAGCCCAAAGCACTAAGGTATATATATATCCTCTCAAAGGAAGGCGAAATAATAACTCAATGTAGTAATGACAATAAGAAAGATGTCTACACATCAAAATTAACGCTATCCTGTTGGTTAACTGAAGCCTTCTACCTGCCTGAGTCCTATCCCGGCCTTGGCACAAACACTGCCATTAGGAACATGGATGGTCTCTTCTCTCTTTCTGAAATGTCAGTCCTAAGTGCCAGTGCTGGAGGCTGCAGCCTGACCTTGCATGTCAACAGCTGATTAAAACAGCCATTTTTATGGCCTGCTCCAGGCACGCACAGATTATCGGAACTAATTAGGAATCATTGATAGCAGTGTGAAAAGCCAAAGGAATTCTCAGGAGTCCTAAGCCACTAACAACCTTAAACCTGTCAGACAAGTCATGTCTACCTCAAACACCCTCTTTACCTGCAAAGTCACGCAAGAGAGAGCTTCCCCTTGACCCTGTGCATTTCTTCACCCATTTATTTGCTTTCTGTTGACTCTGAAACGGACCAAGGTAGGGAGTCCTGAGCATGTCACCCTACAAATCAAGCATTCTTTGTGGGTCTACGTCTTGTGGTGCAGGTACAGGGCACCTCCCTCTCCTATTCCGAGGGCTCTCTGGAGGCAGGCTGAGCATTTTCTCCTCACAGTCCTGAAAGGTACAAAACTCACAGTACAGGGAGAGGAGAGCAGAGCCCACACCCCGGCTGGCTGGCTGCTCCAGCAGGGAGCTCACTGATGGTGGGCAGCACTGCTGATGAACTGGCACACTTTGTAGCCTAGGGCAAGACAAGGCCGGGATCCCTTCTCCTCAGTCTGCCAGTTACAGGGCCTAGGACTCCACAGTACCCTACTCAGTTTCTCTGAGAGGAATGTGCAAGCACCACAAAATGTTCCTTTTCAACATTTACACATCAAGTCCCACCACCAGTCAGACTGGCTTATCAGAAACAGGCAGAGGGAATAAAATAAACTCCAAAGGAAGGGAACCAAGAACATAGCGTGTAAATGGCAAACAATAACATTGCCAAAGCCTGAACATGAGCCAAGCCTAATTATGTTTGGGCTGGCAGGTGGATCTTTATTGTTCTGGAACCAAGGCAGTAAAATCAGTTGGTAGGGTTTCTCTCACTATGTATTTTACAGCTGTCGGTGAAACAAGAAAGGGAGATATAATTACAGCCAGTTCGTGACAAGCAGAGCACATCTTAGGATCTGATTAACCTTAGGGTATCCAGGAAAACAGCTTAAGCACACTCTGTACAGGCTGGGAGACAAGACTCCTCCCCAGACAGCTCACTCCACATCATGAGGCCAGGGCCCTGCAACCTCACAGGCCAGCCACCACAGTGCCTGCTGCGGCCTCCCCTTCTTCAGGTCTTTCTCACTTCCACAGGCTCCTTCCAGTACATACGACTTAAGGTCTCAGCCTCGTTCTCACACCCTCAAGCACCATGTCCAAACCTTCTCCAGCAGCTTCTGCATGTACATCCCTCCCTGTCCTTCAAACCTCCCAGCCTTCTGGTTGTGTGACAAGACTCCCACAACAAAATGTCAGCTCAGATCTAAACTCAGTCCTCACACTGACACGGCCCTTTAGTGAGAAAGGCTGTGTGCGCCCCATGTGTTACCAATGAGGAGCACAGCTCACTGAAGGCTCAATGCCTCAATGAGGGCATGTGATTTCCCCAGGGCTATGAATTCTGATTCCATTCTGTGGGGATCACACAACTGTGGGGGGATATCACACTGGTTTGGTTTGGTTTTTTAAGTTCTTACTTTAATCACCCAGTGCTCATCACAGCAAGTGTACTCCTTAATCCCCATCACCTATTTCACCCATATCCGCACCCCACCCCCGGCCCACCTCCCCTCTGGTAGCCATCAGTGTGTTCTCTATAGTTAAACACACAGGTTCTTTTCAGGAGTATAAACCAGTAAATTCATACCCTCAGACCCACACTGTACAAGAGAGCCCCTGTAGATTTACATGAAATCTACACAAAATGAAATTTGGTGTCAACTGTATCTCTGAAAGAAGGATTTGTTACAAGAAGCCTAAATACTCAATACTCTTTACTAGGGCCCACAAGGCCTCCATGATCTGGCCCCTGTTTATTTCACCCCCTTTACCTTGGGCCCCAACTCCCACCATGCTCCAAGGCACCTTGGCTGCCTTCTGGTTCCTAAACATATTCCAAGTCCCTTCTGGCCTCAGGAAGCATGTCCCCTCTCCTGGGACTCTTTTCTCTCTTCCAATATTCTACCCACACTCATAGCTGGTCCCTCATTTTTCTTAAAGAAGTCCCTCATTCGGGGCGCCTGGGTGGCTCAGATGGTTAAGCGTCTGCCTTCAGCTCAGGTCATGATCCCAGGGTCCTGGGATCGAGCCCCACACCGGGCTTCTGGCTCAGCGAGGAGCCTGCTTCTCCCTCTGCCTCTGCCTCTCTCCCTGCTCATGCTTTCTCTCTCTCTGTATCTCTGTGTCTCAAATGAATAAATAAAATCTTTAAAAAAAAAAAAAAAGAAGTCCCTCATTCTTCTTCTCCCCCTCTTCTTAAATATCCCTCAGTCTCAGCAGGCTGCTTATTTTCTTCACTGTACTGAACACAACTTGTAAATAACTGTTTTTTCGTTTTGGACCATCCACTTTGCCAGACTGCAAGCTCCATGAAGGCAGTGACCGAGTCTGTCTTGCTCACTGCGCTAGCCTGTTCTTCACGGTGCCCTCACTGTCAGCACAGGGCCTGGTCGGGTCTACATAAATGTGTGTGGAAAATTAATGAAAGAATGGGAAGGAAACCTGTACAACTGCCTCAGCGAGTTCCATTCTGCAGCTGGGTAAGAGCCCCACTGTAACCAAAGGTAAGTGTGGGTGAGATGTTTCAGATTCTTTCCCCTCCCCCATTTACAACTAGACAAACCCTCTGTCCACCCTGGACCTCATTCCTTCAGGTTAAAGCTCCACTGAAACAAGCTTTGGACTCAAGAGGTAAAGGACCTCCTGACAAGATGGCTTATTAATTATGAAGGGGAGAAGTATCCTTACAAAGAAGAAACCCGGTGGACGATACCTCACCCAAGTGATTAACTCAGCCCCAATGGTAAGACAAACTGACACTGTATATTCTTACGATGTGATACCCTGAAAAGGACAGAGCCCCACCAAAATCGTGGGGAAAATGTTTAACATGAATCACATGGAACATAAATCACAGGAATCAAAAGGAACAATCACTGGGTGGCTCAACTGGTTAAGTGTCTGCCTTTGGCTAGGGCCATGATCCC